TGAAACCAGCAGCACAGACGAATTAAACTGTAATGAATTTTGTCTAGTGTGGTGTATATCTCCAAGTAAGAAATTGTTCAAACGAAATTCGTACATAGTTTCTTTTTCCATTTTCAGTATTTACAGTTTCCGCAAAGAAGAACAATTAAGGTTGGAAAACTCTCTAGGAAAGCTAACATTGGGGGATATAACAACAGTCAATATGACAATGATAAATGGAGGTGTGCAGCATAATGTTGTGCCTGAACAGTTGTCAGCATCATTTGACATTAGATTAACTCCTTCATTGTCACTGGATGACTTCAAAAGGAAATTAGATCAGTGGGCATTAAATGCTGGTGGACAGATTGAAGTTAGTTTGCAAAAATTGACATGTTTTTGTATCTTTTATATTTCCTAAGTAATCAAGTTTAGGAGAATAAAAGAATCGCCTAAAAATTGGTTGAAATCGCTTTTCTTACTGCTGCTGTGTACAAACCTCTACACCATATAAAACTCCATTATAAATGTGGAAAAATTTAGTAGCAGTATTGCCGTTTCGTTTTGATGTGCTCTCGGTGAAAGCATACTAGAGGAACAAGCGTAAAACAACTGCGACAAATTTCAGCTAGTTCTTAACCAATTGTAAAATCTTTACTATAATGGAATAGTTCCGAGGGGAAATTTATATAGAAATTTAACAGTACTTAATGAGTCTCCTAATTTTTTTCTTAGAAATCAATAGTACAACAACCTAATAATTGGTCCATATAGAAGTAGATAATCTGTCTTGCTGAGCCCTTTCAACCACATAACTAGATTCTCGGGAGTCCTCACACTGTTTCCAATCAGGGAATTACGGCCGATTTGTGTTATATTCTATCTACGCAGAGAGAATAATGCAGTCGGTACATTCAACTGTCATCACTATTGTATGGTGAATGAAGTAATTCTTCGTTATTATTTTAAATGATATTACCATCATACAAAGGTAATTCCACTACTCAGTTTACGTAATTTATTTAAGTTAAACTCTATTCATACTTGAATTTCGCGCAAAAACCCAAATATCGTTTTCTCGATTCTGATTGGCTCATCCGTGCGCTATTTCCTTTACTGTTCTTTTTTCCTGTGATATTAACTGAAAATGTAGTGGTTTCATCAGAAAAATACCTTTTTGAACCATTAAATTTGTGCGTACGTCTCACTTTTGGAACAGTTCTATGTTATGGTTATTAAAATCGGAGTAATGAATTTAAGATATATTACACTTTCGAGAATGCTAGTGGATAAAGGACCGCATATGATTGAGTAATATAATATTTTATGATAACATTTAACTTTTGCCCGTATATTGTGTACGTATAATGGATATTCCCTGTCTAATATTCGCTTCTTTTTGTAATTTAGTTCGAATTCATCAATACTGGGGTTGATCTAAAACAATCAGTTATTACCCCAGATGAATCCACTAATCCTTGGTGGGCTACTTTAATTAGTGTCTGCTCAAAACACGGTAGTAAAGTTCAAAAGAGAATATTTCCTGGTGGTACAGATGCCAGATTTGTTCGAGAATATCATTTACTTCCACATGCTACTAATAACAAACCAATACAAGCAATTGGATTTTCACCAATCAAAAATACCCCCGTTTTATTGCATGACCATGATGAATGGTTAGATAAAACAGAATTTTTGCGTGGATGTCGATTGTACTCTGATCTTGTTCAAGCTCTCGCCGAATTACCCTGACCCAGTGGTTTCTATTCAGTTGTATTGCTTTTGTTTTCATTAGTCTTTGTTAATTAGTGACTGAATTTCGTACAGTTATTACTTATAGTTTTAAGTTTAGTGTCATTAATTTACGTAATTGTATCCGGTGATTTAAATAAATATATGGGTTATTTCAGTTAATAGAATTATTTTTTTCATGATGATACGTTATGAATAAGACAGTTGTTACTGACTGTAGTCGGAATTCATATTTCGTTGAAAAAAAATGAAGCCGAATATCCCTCATTATCTAGACCTTTCCGGAATGAGAATCGTCAATACATTTGTGTCTTTTTGTTGTTGTGCTCATCGTTATGCTACAATATACTTTTGAAGCAGTGCGCGAAATATATTTTGCGTTTAAGTTGTTTTTTGATCTAAGGTTTTAGTTGCTAATCAGGAAGACTATAAGATTTCCTATTGTTTTACAGGTTTGGGTGCAATGTATGAACAGCACACATAACCACTGTCTATTCTTATCACATGGTATATGGTTGAACGATACTAGATACGTCATTAGAAATAGTAATTCCAGGTCTCATTTTTACAGGCAATTGGTCCCATTGAACTGCCTTCTTCGTACGGCTTTAATTTAAATAAAATAGCATATCAGGAAACTACTCAGTTTTTACACTTGGCAGTAATGTTGTTTCAGTTACAGAAATTTAATTGCGGATTTTCGGTGCTTGGTTTGCAGATTTAGTTTTAGAAGTCAGGAAGCATACTCATTACTGTCGATACAATGAGGTAATAGATTTTAGGAAAACACCTCAGATATTTGTATTACCCTTCACCAGTTTTGTTCGGTAAGGGACGATTAATATTCCAAAGGTAATAGTGATGTATGGTTTGATGGATTTGAAGTATCTTTGGCTGTATGTAAGGGGACTGGGTCGACGCAACAGTGTTCTGTGGATGTTTGAAACTTGAACCCCATCAGGTAACTTGTTTATAACAGCATAGCTTAAATATATAAGTCTATAATTTCGTAAAAAGTCTCCAAATGTTAGACAAAGTTCCGTAAACACTTTGACACACCGACACAACTTGGACTAAGATAAGTTTCGGGGATCGCTGTTAGCATTTTTCTTATCTAGGCTAAGCGTTTGTGAATTTGAGAGTATCTTCCCTGTTTCCGAGAGTCTCATTGTCATCTACTTGCGTTTTTGAAAAACTTGATGACAGGAAATACAGAGTAGAGCTCGTCAACTAATGACCGATCGACATTCTAGTAAAAGACAGTATGTCTTCTAACATTCTGCTTATTCATTAGTATCAGACCTTCGTTCGTGAGAATCAAAGAGATTCTGTAGTAACACAAAAACAAATAGCATGAATAATAACCATCTCACTTTGAATCAAAAGATCAACGGAACATACAGATGAAGAGATCAAGAAGAAGAGCTCCACATTTAAAAGCAAGGCAATAAATTACATTAAAAAACGTGTATGTAGAGGAATTTCCATGCACATCCAAAAGAAATTTCAGATAGAATCTTGCATTTATGCTAAGGGTCTTAATTAAGCTACTTACACCTGCTACCCAAAATGGAGGAGCATAAGCTACTCACCAGCGTTCTCCATCGAACTATATACTGAGCAATCCTTCACAGTTATTTCCAATCACTACACACTTTTCGATATATGCTTTCAATTCTTGATACAATGTGTTCCTTAGTCTTCCTCCCTTTCGTTTCCCTTCAGAGACCCAAGTAAGCGCCTGCCTCGTGATGCAGTTTGATAATTTTCGAGATTTTATCCTACCCACATCCAACGTCTTTCCTCAACTCCCTCTTCAGCTGGAAGCTAATTTGTTCTCTCTCTCCCACAGTAGGTTCTTAATGGTATCCGGCCAGTGGACCTGGAGCATCTTGCGTAGACGATTGTTTATAAATACCTGTACCTTTTTGGTGATGGTTTTGGTAGTTCTTTAAGTTTCAGCTCCACACGGTAGAACTTTCTTGGTGTTTCTATTGAAGATTCTGACTTTGATGTTGGTCGACAGTTGTTTTCAGTTCCGTATGTTTTTTAACTGAAAGGATGCGATCCTTGATGTCGATCCGTGCCGTTACTTCTGCATCGGATCCTCCTTGTTCATCAATGATGTTTACCAGACACGTGAAAGTTTACACCTATTCCAGAGCTCTGTCAAGTGTGAATGAGTTGGTATTCTCTGTATTGTATTCGAGGATCTTGATTTTTCCCTTGTATATGTTGAAGCCTACTGATTCATAGACTGCTACTACACTAGTTTTCGTCACCTAAATTTGTTGATGTGTATGTAATAGAATAGCTAGGTTATCTGCGAAGTCCCAATCATCTAGTTGTATCCAACCTGTGGATTGCATCCCGTGCTTCTTCTGAGATGTGGAGGTCCTCACGATCCAGTTGACCACTGGAAGGAAAAGAAAGCGAGAGAGTAAGCAGCCTTTTCCAATTCCTATCTTCACTTGCGATGCATCTGTCAGCTGTCCTCCATGCACCACTATGCAGTGTAGTCCATCGTATGAGTTTCCGAGGATGTTGACGATCTTCTCAGGTACACCATAGTGCAAAGAGGGTTCCATAAGGTTCCCCTGTCCACGCCATAAAACGTCTTCTCATAGTCGAGGAAGTTGATGTATAATGGCGAGTTCCATTCGACCGATTGCACAACGATGATCTGTAGTGTCGCGATTTGGTCTATGCACAACTGACCCTTACGGATTCCGGTCTGTTGATCTGGAAGTTGGACGTTCATTCAGTTCGGCAACATTCTACTGAAAACTACTCCTGGTACCGATAATTGTGTGATGCCTCTGTAGTTCCCACACTTGCTTAGATCTCCTTCTTTTGTTCTCTTGATGAGGTACCTTGAGTCCTCCGAGTTTGTCGGTATCTGGAAGGATGGCTGTGTTAAACTTTCACAATTCTATTTCTCCAGTTGTCCAGTGTTTCTTCCATTTCAGTTTCATCGTTGCCACAACTAGGTGGTGATCTGAAGCTATGTCAGCTCTTTTCTTGGTTCTCACGTTTTCCATGGATCCTCTGAATTTTTTATTGATGCAAACATGGTCGGTCCTGTTCTCTGTAGTTTGGTCCGGTGAAACCCATATAGCTTTGTGTATGCGTTTGTGGTGGGAAATTATGTCACCTGTGGCCATGTTGTTGAAAACATATTAATCTATAAGTCCCTCACCATTCTTGTTCCCTCCTCCGATTCCATGTCGTCCCATGACAACTGCAACCTCACTTGGTGAATGCATAACACTGGATAACATTCATTGTGATCCTTTCCTTCTTTGTTTTGTAGAATGTTTTGACGGTTCTACATCCATGAGACTCCCGTCCTAAAAGTGCTTTTCATGCTTCTTCAGACAGCATTATAGCAAATCGCTCAGTGTGAGGAGCACCTTCCTCATAGTGCCCAGGGTACAGCAGCATCTCTACCGTATCTAGCCTATCCTCATCAGCTTGGATCCAATAGGTTTCACCGGCTGTTGAGTGGCTTTTTAAATTGGGTCAAGAATTACATCTCATGTGCAATGTCGTTGAAATCGTTCCAGATAATCCTATCGTCATCATGCGTTGGGATGGATATCAACCGGAATTACCAGCAATCATGTTAAATTCACATATGGACGTAGTACCAGTTGTCGAAGAAAAATGGTCATATCCTCCATTCAGTGGTACAATTACACCTGATGGTAAAATATACGGGCGAGGTACTCAGGTAATTAAATCTCGTGATTATACTGTTCGCTAGAACAGCATAAATATTCACTTTTTACTCAAATGTAAATAGTTATTATGATAAACTTATTATAGTTGAACTAGTAGATCGATATGGTTGTAATTATAAGAAGTATTTTAATGTAATTTTTGTTGCTGCATGTTAGTAACTAGTTTTCTGTGCAGGCTTGATTTGACCATTCGTGTAATCGTATACATCTTATGGAATTTGAGTTATATAGGTGGTCGTCTACACGTTAAGACAAGTCTTCGCTTTAACAGAAAAAGCTGCTACTTTAACATTTGTTCGTAAAACAATCGGCGAATTTTCCGTAAATCCCGAGTGACCTCGTGTCAAACTAGTCATCATTAACTTAGGACCTTGCAAAATTGTACACTAACCCCAATTCCCATACCATATCAGCACCTTTCGGGAAAATGCATTAAATCAACAGCAAGGCAGTCGGGGTAGTATTTGGAACCTAAATTCTGCGGGATTGTAGATTGACTAATGGCACACTTCAATCGTATTTAAGCTGAAACTGGTGCGAAAATTTATTGTATTAACGCATAAGATTGTCCAATTTACCTATATATGCATGGTTCATTTTGTCTATTGTAGTGCAATAATTATGGATTTAGAACTGTAAAGCCTGGTGATCGAGTTAGTGGGAACAATTATTTCTTCAGGTATTCCTTGTTCTTAAATACTGAATACATTCTGCACTCTTGTGTCCTATTTTGAGCCATGACACCTAAGGCTGCGGGTTCTCAGTCACGATTATTGCTCAGACCCTATCCAGGTAGTTTTCACATACACACACAGCCTAAACCAATGGTCAGTGACTTAATATACTGGTACCTCAACTTAATTTGTCTGCCTTAGCTTTCTTATTCATTTTGGCTATAATCCCATCTAACAATCTTGCGGAATCTTTTGACTGTGTAAATACGCATTGATATTTTTTCTAGCATGTAAACTAGATTCTGAAAGGAAACACTAAGAACATCCCTTTGGAAAGTGAACGTTTCATTCAATAGTTGAGACCATGAGCAAATTGAAGCTAGACCACCATGGAAAACCTAAAAGCACTGAACGGCCGTTTCGTCCTACTGCGGGACTCCCCAACAGTGCGCATCCACGATCTCGCCTCGCGGAATTCGAATCCAGGACCTACCAGTTTCGCGCGCGAGCGCTTAACCTCTAGACCACTGAGCCAAAATCCAACGGTGGTAATGTCTAACTCCAACTAGTCCGCGAAATTGAGCGACACACCCACCATCTCGCGAGGTGAGATCGTGGATGCGCACTGCTGAGGATTCCCACAGTAGGACGAAAAGGCCGTCCAGCGCTTCCAGGTTTTCTATGGTGGTCTAGCTTCAATTGACTCATGATCTCAACTACTAAAATTACTATAATATCCACAACAAACCCCCTCTGATAATAAAAATTGTGTTACTATGTTTTTAATCAGATGAGTTCATATTTTACACCTTGAAAACTATTCCTTACCTCGATAGTTTCAAATAAACTGAGGATTGGGCAGAAGGCGAATAATAAATATATTTTTGTGAATTGACTCTCATGTGGCCACAAAATGTCAGATACAATATTCTACTCGTTGGGATACCACAAAAATATATTTATTATTATTCCGAACCTACTTCAGAACGGGTGTAATTTACCTAGTATTTATGGTAAAAATTTTCCATGTTGTGTTGCAAACCACCCTCATTACTTATTGCAAACTCCAACTTACGATTTTCCCACCAAATTTGTCCATCCCAGGTGTCATTAAAGATGCTTTCTCCCTATTATTTTTCCATCTTTTGATAAGTTATTTTTCTCCTTACTCTTAAGGACATTGTAATTATATTTATGCGTAATAGTTGTTATCCTACTTTAATCTTTTTAGTGTTATTATTAAAATTAACACTCAAGACTTGACTGTTTTCTTAGCTGGGGATCATGAACTAACATAGCAAAATATCTACATTCATGGCTTAGTAGATTAAAGCTAGGAGTAGGATACATTAGTATTATGTACAGTTTAGTTTGTCAACATATTTTTTTTAAAATTCAGTTGTACATATCACACTGCAAAATAAATTCTTCTAAAATAAGTTTTTAAAACTGCTATGAACTATCCATATATCACCCATTTGACGCTCTTTCTGAAGAATTTCGGATTCTATGTATCTTTTTGTTATTTTAATATTGGTGTAGGGTGTGTGTGTGTGGAGATTTTTGAATTTTCTTCTGTACGTCACGAACTGACCTTAGTTATCTAACTATTAAAGAATGAGGAACACTGGAAAACTGTTTCATCTTAGTATGATACTCCCCATCTTACTAGTAACTGATTTACAAAGACAGTTTTCCTATATACGTTGTAGGGACGTAACCAGAGGAGTCCAACCAGGTCAAGAGTGAGGAAGTTGTCCACCAATCGGATTGGAAAATGACCGAGTAATATCACGAATTGATTAAAATCAGTAATGTAAACCATCGGATCCCAAATCAGTTTTCTAAACTTCAATGACTCACTGTGAGACCTGGAAGTTTTCGGCTCGATTTCTGATAGTGTCGTCAGTGTTCACTTGGAAGTCCTATACTGGAGTGGAATCGATGTTTTCGATAGTTGTCTAACCAACGTCAGTTTGTAATGTAGACTGAAAAGTTAGTTTATTACTTGTGAAATTTTGAAATACATCATTGAATACTCTGTCCTGAGATGTTATTTAACCTGTTATGCCATTCATATTCTTTTGTTGAAGGATATGAAATCAATTGGTATTCAACAGTTGGAGGCTATTCGAAGATTAAAATCACGTGGATGCAACCAGTTGCGTCGTACAGTTTACTTGACTTTTGTACCTGACGAGGAGTTAGGTGGTGTGAAAGGAATGAAACCATTTTATTGAATCATAATGAATGTAATAATCATCATTCCGAAGAAATTAGATTTCAAGATATGAATATTGGGCTTTGTTTAGATGAAGGTATACCAAGTTGTTCAGAAGATTATTTAGCATTTTACGACGAACGTCGTCCAGTTTGGATAAATGTACATTTTCATGGTAATGCTGGTCATGTTCTGGCTTTAATTGAAAATACAGCCGCTGAAAAATTCCGGATATTTTTAAATAGGTAAGACTTCTTAAAATATCTTCCATGTTTTTATTTGGGTTTGTGTTGATTCCATATCGTATTTTCAAGGGATTATATATATATATATATTATATATATATATATATATATATATAATATATATATATATATATTGAATAAGATGTCTTTTATTTTTCTGTCGATGGGACTGATAGTAGAATGCAAGATATACCTTTTGTCCAACTTCAGACTCACCAACTAAATGTACTTGCATTTCTTATGGTTAACGTACCAGTAATCTTCGATTTCTATTAGGACAAACTTCATAACTTATAATTTACAGTAACCAATTTCCTGTTATTTGCCGATAGTAAATAAAACGCTTCGTGGATTCGCACCATTTTACCAGTCAAGGAATTATCGATCGGAGTTAAGGGTTTGTAGTCGTAAGAATCTCTACTATTCTCCTAGTGAAACCAGCAGCACAGACGAATTAAACTGTAATGAATTTTGTCTAGTGTGGTGTATATCTCCAAGTAAGAAATTGTTCAAACGAAATTCGTACATAGTTTCTTTTTCCATTTTCAGTATTTACAGTTTCCGCAAAGAAGAACAATTAAGGTTGGAAAACTCTCTAGGAAAGCTAACATTGGGGGATATAACAACAGTCAATATGACAATGATAAATGGAGGTGTGCAGCATAATGTTGTGCCTGAACAGTTGTCAGCATCATTTGACATTAGATTAACTCCTTCATTGTCACTGGATGACTTCAAAAGGAAATTAGATCAGTGGGCATTAAATGCTGGTGGACAGATTGAAGTTAGTTTGCAAAAATTGACATGTTTTTGTATCTTTTATATTTCCTAAGTAATCAAGTTTAGGAGAATAAAAGAATCGCCTAAAAATTGGTTGAAATCGCTTTTCTTACTGCTGCTGTGTACAAACCTCTACACCATATAAAACTCCATTATAAATGTGGAAAATTTTAGTAGCAGTATTGCCGTTTCGTTTTGATGTGCTCTCGGTGAAAGCATACTAGAGGAACAAGCGTAAAACAACTGCGACAAATTTCAGCTAGTTCTTAACCAATTGTAAAATCTTTACTATAATGGAATAGTTCCGAGGGGAAATTTATATAGAAATTTAACAGTACTTAATGAGTCTCCTAATTTTTTTCTTAGAAATCAATAGTACAACAACCTAATAATTGGTCCATATAGAAGTAGATAATCTGTCTTGCTGAGCCCTTTCAACCACATAACTAGATTCTCGGGAGTCCTCACACTGTTTCCAATCAGGGAATTACGGCCGATTTGTGTTATATTCTATCTACGCAGAGAGAATAATGCAGTCGGTACATTCAACTGTCATCACTATTGTATGGTGAATGAAGTAATTCTTCGTTATTATTTTAAATGATATTACCATCATACAAAGGTAATTCCACTACTCAGTTTACGTAATTTATTTAAGTTAAACTCTATTCATACTTGAATTTCGCGCAAAAACCCAAATATCGTTTTCTCGATTCTGATTGGCTCATCCGTGCGCTATTTCCTTTACTGTTCTTTTTTCCTGTGATATTAACTGAAAATGTAGTGGTTTCATCAGAAAAATACCTTTTTGAACCATTAAATTTGTGCGTACGTCTCACTTTTGGAACAGTTCTATGTTATGGTTATTAAAATCGGAGTAATGAATTTAAGATATATTACACTTTCGAGAATGCTAGTGGATAAAGGACCGCATATGATTGAGTAATATAATATTTTATGATAACATTTAACTTTTGCCCGTATATTGTGTACGTATAATGGATATTCCCTGTCTAATATTCGCTTCTTTTTGTAATTTAGTTCGAATTCATCAATACTGGGGTTGATCTAAAACAATCAGTTATTACCCCAGATGAATCCACTAATCCTTGGTGGGCTACTTTAATTAGTGTCTGCTCAAAACACGGTAGTAAAGTTCAAAAGAGAATATTTCCTGGTGGTACAGATGCCAGATTTGTTCGAGAATATCATTTACTTCCACATGCTACTAATAACAAACCAATACAAGCAATTGGATTTTCACCAATCAAAAATACCCCCGTTTTATTGCATGACCATGATGAATGGTTAGATAAAACAGAATTTTTGCGTGGATGTCGATTGTACTCTGATCTTGTTCAAGCTCTCGCCGAATTACCCTGACCCAGTGGTTTCTATTCAGTTGTATTGCTTTTGTTTTCATTAGTCTTTGTTAATTAGTGACTGAATTTCGTACAGTTATTACTTATAGTTTTAAGTTTAGTGTCATTAATTTACGTAATTGTATCCGGTGATTTAAATAAATATATGGGTTATTTCAGTTAATAGAATTATTTTTTTCATGATGATACGTTATGAATAAGACAGTTGTTACTGACTGTAGTCGGAATTCATATTTCGTTGAAAAAAAATGAAGCCGAATATCCCTCATTATCTAGACCTTTCCGGAATGAGAATCGTCAATACATTTGTGTCTTTTTGTTGTTGTGCTCATCGTTATGCTACAATATACTTTTGAAGCAGTGCGCGAAATATATTTTGCGTTTAAGTTGTTTTTTGATCTAAGGTTTTAGTTGCTAATCAGGAAGACTATAAGATTTCCTATTGTTTTACAGGTTTGGGTGCAATGTATGAACAGCACACATAACCACTGTCTATTCTTATCACATGGTATATGGTTGAACGATACTAGATACGTCATTAGAAATAGTAATTCCAGGTCTCATTTTTACAGGCAATTGGTCCCATTGAACTGCCTTCTTCGTACGGCTTTAATTTAAATAAAATAGCATATCAGGAAACTACTCAGTTTTTACACTTGGCAGTAATGTTGTTTCAGTTACAGAAATTTAATTGCGGATTTTCGGTGCTTGGTTTGCAGATTTAGTTTTAGAAGTCAGGAAGCATACTCATTACTGTCGATACAATGAGGTAATAGATTTTAGGAAAACACCTCAGATATTTGTATTACCCTTCACCAGTTTTGTTCGGTAAGGGACGATTAATATTCCAAAGGTAATAGTGATGTATGGTTTGATGGATTTGAAGTATCTTTGGCTGTATGTAAGGGGACTGGGTCGACGCAACAGTGTTCTGTGGATGTTTGAAACTTGAACCCCATCAGGTAACTTGTTTATAACAGCATAGCTTAAATATATAAGTCTATAATTTCGTAAAAAGTCTCCAAATGTTAGACAAAGTTCCGTAAACACTTTGACACACCGACACAACTTGGACTAAGATAAGTTTCGGGGATCGCTGTTAGCATTTTTCTTATCTAGGCTAAGCGTTTGTGAATTTGAGAGTATCTTCCCTGTTTCCGAGAGTCTCATTGTCATCTACTTGCGTTTTTGAAAAACTTGATGACAGGAAATACAGAGTAGAGCTCGTCAACTAATGACCGATCGACATTCTAGTAAAAGACAGTATGTCTTCTAACATTCTGCTTATTCATTAGTATCAGACCTTCGTTCGTGAGAATCAAAGAGATTCTGTAGTAACACAAAAACAAATAGCATGAATAATAACCATCTCACTTTGAATCAAAAGATCAACGGAACATACAGATGAAGAGATCAAGAAGAAGAGCTCCACATTTAAAAGCAAGGCAATAAATTACATTAAAAAACGTGTATGTAGAGGAATTTCCATGCACATCCAAAAGAAATTTCAGATAGAATCTTGCATTTATGCTAAGGGTCTTAATTAAGCTACTTACACCTGCTACCCAAAATGGAGGAGCATAAGCTACTCACCAGCGTTCTCCATCGAACTATATACTGAGCAATCCTTCACAGTTATTTCCAATCACTACACACTTTTCGATATATGCTTTCAATTCTTGATACAATGTGTTCCTTAGTCTTCCTCCCTTTCGTTTCCCTTCAGAGACCCAAGTAAGCGCCTGCCTCGTGATGCAGTTTGATAATTTTCGAGATTTTATCCTACCCACATCCAACGTCTTTCCTCAACTCCCTCTTCAGCTGGAAGCTAATTTGTTCTCTCTCTCCCACAGTAGGTTCTTAATGGTATCCGGCCAGTGGACCTGGAGCATCTTGCGTAGACGATTGTTTATAAATACCTGTACCTTTTTGGTGATGGTTTTGGTAGTTCTTTAAGTTTCAGCTCCACACGGTAGAACTTTCTTGGTGTTTCTATTGAAGATTCTGACTTTGATGTTGGTCGACAGTTGTTTTCAGTTCCGTATGTTTTTTAACTGAAAGGATGCGATCCTTGATGTCGATCCGTGCCGTTACTTCTGCATCGGATCCTCCTTGTTCATCAATGATGTTTACCAGACACGTGAAAGTTTACACCTATTCCAGAGCTCTGTCAAGTGTGAATGAGTTGGTATTCTCTGTATTGTATTCGAGGATCTTGATTTTTCCCTTGTATATGTTGAAGCCTACTGATTCATAGACTGCTACTACACTAGTTTTCGTCACCTAAATTTGTTGATGTGTATGTAATAGAATAGCTAGGTTATCTGCGAAGTCCCAATCATCTAGTTGTATCCAACCTGTGGATTGCATCCCGTGCTTCTTCTGAGATGTGGAGGTCCTCACGATCCAGTTGACCACTGGAAGGAAAAGAAAGCGAGAGAGTAAGCAGCCTTTTCCAATTCCTATCTTCACTTGCGATGCATCTGTCAGCTGTCCTCCATGCACCACTATGCAGTGTAGTCCATCGTATGAGTTTCCGAGGATGTTGACGATCTTCTCAGGTACACCATAGTGCAAAGAGGGTTCCATAAGGTTCCCCTGTCCACGCCATAAAACGTCTTCTCATAGTCGAGGAAGTTGATGTATAATGGCGAGTTCCATTCGACCGATTGCACAACGATGATCTGTAGTGTCGCGATTTGGTCTATGCACAACTGACCCTTACGGATTCCGGTCTGTTGATCTGGAAGTTGGACGTTCATTCAGTTCGGCAACATTCTACTGAAAACTACTCCTGGTACCGATAATTGTGTGATGCCTCTGTAGTTCCCACACTTGCTTAGATCTCCTTCTTTTGTTCTCTTGATGAGGTACCTTGAGTCCTCCGAGTTTGTCGGTATCTGGAAGGATGGCTGTATTAAACTTTCACAATTCTATTTCTCCAGTTGTCCAGTGTTTCTTCCATTTCAGTTTCATCGTTGCCACAACTAGGTGGTGATCTGAAGCTATGTCAGCTCTTTTCTTGGTTCTCACGTTTTCCATGGATCCTCTGAATTTTTTATTGATGCAAACATGGTCGGTCCTGTTCTCTGTAGTTTGGTCCGGTGAAACCCATATAGCTTTGTGTATGCGTTTGTGGTGGGAAATTATGTCACCTGTGGCCATGTTGTTGAAAACATATTAATCTATAAGTCCCTCACCATTCTTGTTCCCTCCTCCGATTCCATGTCGTCCCATGACAACTGCAACCTCACTTGGTGAATGCATAACACTGGATAACATTCATTGTGATCCTTTCCTTCTTTGTTTTGTAGAATGTTTTGACGGTTCTACATCCATGAGACTCCCGTCCTAAAAGTGCTTTTCATGCTTCTTCAGACAGCATTATAGCAAATCGCTCAGTGTGAGGAGCACCTTCCTCATAGTGCCCAGGGTACAGCAGCATCTCTACCGTATCTAGCCTATCCTCATCAGCTTGGATCCAATAGGTTTCACCGGCTGTTGAGTGGCTTTTTAAATTGGGTCAAGAATTACATCTCATGTGCAATGTCGTTGAAATCGTTCCAGATAATCCTATCGTCATCATGCGTTGGGATGGATATCAACCGGAATTACCAGCAATCATGTTAAATTCACATATGGACGTAGTACCAGTTGTCGAAGAAAAATGGTCATATCCTCCATTCAGTGGTACAATTACACCTGATGGTAAAATATACGGGCGAGGTACTCAGGTAATTAAATCTCGTGATTATACTGTTCGCTAGAACAGCATAAATATTCACTTTTTACTCAAATGTAAATAGTTATTATGATAAACTTATTATAGTTGAACTAGTAGATCGATATGGTTGTAATTATAAGAAGTATTTTAATGTAATTTTTGTTGCTGCATGTTAGTAACTAGTTTTCTGTGCAGGCTTGATTTGACCATTCGTGTAATCGTATACATCTTATGGAATTTGAGTTATATAGGTGGTCGTCTACACGTTAAGACAAGTCTTCGCTTTAACAGAAAAAGCTGCTACTTTAACATTTGTTCGTAAAACAATCGGCGAATTTTCCGTAAATCCCGAGTGACCTCGTGTCAAACTAGTCATCATTAACTTAGGACCTTGCAAAATTGTACACTAACCCCAATTCCCATACCATATCAGCACCTTTCGGGAAAATGCATTAAATCAACAGCAAGGCAGTCGGGGTAGTATTTGGAACCTAAATTCTGCGGGATTGTAGATTGACTAATGGCACACTTCAATCGTATTTAAGCTGAAACTGGTGCGAAAATTTATTGTATTAACGCATAAGATTGTCCAATTTACCTATATATGCATGGTTCATTTTGTCTATTGTAGTGCAATAATTATGGATTTAGAACTGTAAAGCCTGGTGATCGAGTTAGTGGGAACAATTATTTCTTCAGGTATTCCTTGTTCTTAAATACTGAATACATTCTGCACTCTTGTGTCCTATTTTGAGCCATGACACCTAAGGCTGCCGGTTCTCAGTCACGATTATTGCTCAGACCCTATCCAGGTAGTTTTCACATACACACACAGCCTAAACCAATGGTCATTGACTTAATATACTGGGACCTCAACTTAATTTGTCTGCCTTAGCTTTCTTATTCATTTTGGCTATAATCCCATCTAACAATCTTGCGGAATCTTTTGACTGTGTAAATACGCATTGATATTTTTTCTAGCATGTAAACTAGATTCTGAAAGGAAACACTAAGAACATCCCTTTTGAAAGTGAACGTTTCATTCAATAGTTGAGACCATGAGTCAATTGAAGCTAGACCACCATGGAAAACCTAAAAGCACTGAACGGCCGTTTCGTCCTACTGTGGGACTCCCCAACAGTGCGCATCCACGATCTCGCCTCGCGGAATTCGAATCCAGGACCTACCAGTTTCGCGCGCGAGCGCTTAACCTCTAGACCACTGAGCCAAAATCCAACGGTGGTAATGTCTAACTCCAACTAGTCCGCGAAATTGAGCGACACACCCACCATCTCGCGAGGTGAGATCGTGGATGCGCACTGCTGAGGATTCCCACAGTAGGACGAAAAGGCCGTCCAGCGCTTCCAGGTTTTCTATGGTGGTCTAGCTTCAATTGACTCATGATCTCAACTACTAAAATTACTATAATATCCACAACAAACCCCCTCTGATAATAAAAATTGTGTTACTATGTTTTTAATCAGATGAGTTCATATTTTACACCTTGAAAACTATTCCTTACCTCGATAGTTTCAAATAAACTGAGGATTGGGCAGAAGGCGAATAATAAATATATTTTTGTGAATTGACTCTCATGTGGCCACAAAATGTCAGATACAATATTCTACTCGTTGGGATACCACAAAAATATATTTATTATTATTCCGAACCTACTTCAGAACGGGTGTAATTTACCTAGTATTTATGGTAAAAATTTTCCATGTTGTGTTGCAAACCACCCTCATTACTTATTGCAAACTCCAACTTACGATTTTCCCACCAAATTTGTCCATCCCAGGTGTCATTAAAGATGCTTTCTCCCTATTATTTTTCCATCTTTTGATAAGTTATTTTTCTCCTTACTCTTAAGGACATTGTAATTATATTTATGCGTAATAGTTGTTATCCTACTTTAATCTTTTTAGTGTTATTAATAAAATTAACACTCAAGACTTGACTGTTTTCTTAGCTGGGGATCATGAACTAACATAGCAAAATATCTACATTCATGGCTTAGTAGATTAAAGCTAGGAGTAGGATACATTAGTATTATGTACAGTTTAGTTTGTCAACATATTTTTTTTAAAATTCAGTTGTACATATCACACTGCAAAATAAATTCTTCTAAAATAAGTTTTTAAAACTGCTATGAACTATCCATATATCACCCATTTGACGCTCTTTCTGAAGAATTTCGGATTCTATGTATCTTTTTGTTATTTTAATATTGGTGTAGGGTGTGTGTGTGTGGAGATTTTTGAATTTTCTTCTGTACGTCACGAACTGACCTTAGTTATCTAACTATTAAAGAATGAGGAACACTGGAAAACTGTTTCATCTTAGTATGATACTCCCCATCTTACTAGTAACTGATTTACAAAGACAGTTTTCCTATATACGTTGTAGGGACGTAACCAGAGGAGTCCAACCAGGTCAAGAGTGAGGAAGTTGTCCACCAATCGGATTGGAAAATGACCGAGTAATATCACGAATTGATTAAAATCAGTAATGTAAACCATCGGATCCCAAATCAGTTTTCTAAACTTCAATGACTCACTGTGAGACCTGGAAGTTTTCGGCTCGATTTCTGATAGTGTCGTCAGTGTTCACTTGGAAGTCCTATACTGGAGTGGAATCGATGTTTTCGATAGTTGTCTAACCAACGTCAGTTTGTAATGTAGACTGAAAAGTTAGTTTATTACTTGTGAAATTTTGAAATACATCATTGAATACTCTGTCCTGAGATGTTATTTAACCTGTTATGCCATTCATATTCTTTTGTTGAAGGATATGAAATCAATTGGTATTCAACAGTTGGAGGCTATTCGAAGATTAAAATCACGTGGATGCAACCAGTTGCGTCGTACAGTTTACTTGACTTTTGTACCTGACGAGGAGTTAGGTGGTGTGAAAGGAATGAAACCATTTTATTGAATCATAATGAATGTAATAATCATCATTCCGAAGAAATTAGATTTCAAGATATGAATATTGGGCTTTGTTTAGATGAAGGTATACCAAGTTGTTCAGAAGATTATTTAGCATTTTACGACGAACGTCGTCCAGTTTGGATAAATGTACATTTTCATGGTAATGCTGGTCATGGTCTGGCTTTAATTGAAAATACAGCCGCTGAAAAATTCCGGATATTTTTAAATAGGTAAGACTTCTTAAAATATCTTCCATGTTTTTATTTGGGTTTGTGTTGATTCCATATCGTATTTTCAAGGGATTATATATATATATATATATATATATATATATATATATATATATATATATATATATATATTGAATAAGATGTCTTTTATTTTTCTGTCGATGGGACTGATAGTAGAATGCAAGATATACCTTTTGTCCAACTTCAGACTCACCAACTAAATGTACTTGCATTTCTTATGGTTAACGTACCAGTAATCTTCGATTTCTATTAGGACAAACTTCATAACTTATAATTTACAGTAACCAATTTCCTGTTATTTGCCGATAGTAAATAAAACGCTTCGTGGATTCGCACCATTTTACCAGTCAAGGAATTATCGATCGGAGTTAAGGGTTTGTAGTCGTAAGAATCTCTACTATTCTCCTAGTGAAACCAGCAGCACAGACGAATTAAACTGTAATGAATTTTGTCTAGTGTGGTGTATATCTCCAAGTAAGAAATTGTTCAAACGAAATTCGTACATAGTTTCTTTTTCCATTTTCAGTATTTACAGTTTCCGCAAAGAAGAACAATTAAGGTTGGAAAACTCTCTAGGAAAGCTAACATTGGGGGATATAACAACAGTCAATATGACAATGATAAATGGAGGTGTGCAGCATAATGTTGTGCCTGAACAGTTGTCAGCATCATTTGACATTAGATTAACTCCTTCATTGTCACTGGATGACTTCAAAAGGAAATTAGATCAGTGGGCATTAAATGCTGGTGGACAGATTGAAGTTAGTTTGCAAAAATTGACATGTTTTTGTATCTTTTATATTTCCTAAGTAATCAAGTTTAGGAGAATAAAAGAATCGCCTAAAAATTGGTTGAAATCGCTTTTCTTACTGCTGCTGTGTACAAACCTCTACACCATATAAAACTCCATTATAAATGTGGAAAAATTTAGTAGCAGTATTGCCGTTTCGTTTTGATGTGCTCTCGGTGAAAGCATACTAGAGGAACAAGCGTAAAACAACTGCGACAAATTTCAGCTAGTTCTTAACCAATTGTAAAATCTTTACTATAATGGAATAGTTCCGAGGGGAAATTTATATAGAAATTTAACAGTACTTAATGAGTCTCCTAATTTTTTTCTTAGAAATCAATAGTACAACAACCTAATAATTGGTCCATATAGAAGTAGATAATCTGTCTTGCTGAGCCCTTTCAACCACATAACTAGATTCTCGGGAGTCCTCACACTGTTTCCAATCAGGGAATTACGGCCGATTTGTGTTATATTCTATCTACGCAGAGAGAATAATGCAGTCGGTACATTCAACTGTCATCACTATTGTATGGTGAATGAAGTAATTCTTCGTTATTATTTTAAATGATATTACCATCATACAAAGGTAATTCCACTACTCAGTTTACGTAATTTATTTAAGTTAAACTCTATTCATACTTGAATTTCGCGCAAAAACCCAAATATCGTTTTCTCGATTCTGATTGGCTCATCCGTGCGCTATTTCCTTTACTGTTCTTTTTTCCTGTGATATTAACTGAAAATGTAGTGGTTTCATCAGAAAAATACCTTTTTGAACCATTAAATTTGTGCGTACGTCTCACTTTTGGAACAGTTCTATGTTATGGTTATTAAAATCGGAGTAATGAATTTAAGATATATTACACTTTCGAGAATGCTAGTGGATAAAGGACCGCATATGATTGAGTAATATAATATTTTATGATAACATTTAACTTTTGCCCGTATATTGTGTACGTATAATGGATATTCCCTGTCTAATATTCGCTTCTTTTTGTAATTTAGTTCGAATTCATCAATACTGGGGTTGATCTAAAACAATCAGTTATTACCCCAGATGAATCCACTAATCCTTGGTGGGCTACTTTAATTAGTGTCTGCTCAAAACACGGTAGTAAAGTTCAAAAGAGAATATTTCCTGGTGGTACAGATGCCAGATTTGTTCGAGAATATCATTTACTTCCACATGCTACTAATAACAAACCAATACAAGCAATTGGATTTTCACCAATCAAAAATACCCCCGTTTTATTGCATGACCATGATGAATGGTTAGATAAAACAGAATTTTTGCGTGGATGTCGATTGTACTCTGATCTTGTTCAAGCTCTCGCCGAATTACCCTGACCCAGTGGTTTCTATTCAGTTGTATTGCTTTTGTTTTCATTGGTCTTTGTTAATTAGTGACTGAATTTCGTACAGTTATTACTTATAGTTTTAAGTTTAGTGTCATTAATTTACGTAATTGTATCCGGTGATTTAAATAAATATATGGGTTATTTCAGTTAATAGAATTATTTTTTTCATGATGATACGTTATGAATAAGACAGTTGTTACTGACTGTAGTCGGAATTCATATTTCGTTGAAAAAAAATGAAGCCGAATATCCCTCATTATCTAGACCTTTCCGGAATGAGAATCGTCAATACATTTGTGTCTTTTTGTTGTTGTGCTCATCGTTATGCTACAATATACTTTTGAAGCAGTGCGCGAAATATATTTTGCGTTTAAGTTGTTTTTTGATCTAAGGTTTTAGTTGCTAATCAGGAAGACTATAAGATTTCCTATTGTTTTACAGGTTTGGGTGCAATGTATGAACAGCACACATAACCACTGTCTATTCTTATCACATGGTATATGGTTGAACGATACTAGATACGTCATTAGAAATAGTAATTCCAGGTCTCATTTTTACAGGCAATTGGTCCCATTGAACTGCCTTCTTCGTACGGCTTTAATTTAAATAAAATAGCATATCAGGAAACTACTCAGTTTTTACACTTGGCAGTAATGTTGTTTCAGTTACAGAAATTTAATTGCGGATTTTCGGTGCTTGGTTTGCAGATTTAGTTTTAGAAGTCAGGAAGCATACTCATTACTGTCGATACAATGAGGTAATAGATTTTAGGAAAACACCTCAGATATTTGTATTACCCTTCACCAGTTTTGTTCGGTAAGGGACGATTAATATTCCAAAGGTAATAGTGATGTATGGTTTGATGGATTTGAAGTATCTTTGGCTGTATGTAAGGGGACTGGGTCGACGCAACAGTGTTCTGTGGATGTTTGAAACTTGAACCCCATCAGGTAACTTGTTTATAACAGCATAGCTTAAATATATAAGTCTATAATTTCGTAAAAAGTCTCCAAATGTTAGACAAAGTTCCGTAAACACTTTGACACACCGACACAACTTGGACTAAGATAAGTTTCGGGGATCGCTGTTAGCATTTTTCTTATCTAGGCTAAGCGTTTGTGAATTTGAGAGTATCTTCCCTGTTTCCGAGAGTCTCATTGTCATCTACTTGCGTTTTTGAAAAACTTGATGACAGGAAATACAGAGTAGAGCTCGTCAACTAATGACCGATCGACATTCTAGTAAAAGACAGTATGTCTTCTAACATTCTGCTTATTCATTAGTATCAGACCTTCGTTCGTGAGAATCAAAGAGATTCTGTAGTAACACAAAAACAAATAGCATGAATAATAACCATCTCACTTTGAATCAAAAGATCAACGGAACATACAGATGAAGAGATCAAGAAGAAGAGCTCCACATTTAAAAGCAAGGCAATAAATTACATTAAAAAACGTGTATGTAGAGGAATTTCCATGCACATCCAAAAGAAATTTCAGATAGAATCTTGCATTTATGCTAAGGGTCTTAATTAAGCTACTTACACCTGCTACCCAAAATGGAGGAGCATAAGCTACTCACCAGCGTTCTCCATCGAACTATATACTGAGCAATCCTTCACAGTTATTTCCAATCACTACACACTTTTCGATATATGCTTTCAATTCTTGATACAATGTGTTCCTTAGTCTTCCTCCCTTTCGTTTCCCTTCAGAGACCCAAGTAAGCGCCTGCCTCGTGATGCAGTTTGATAATTTTCGAGATTTTATCCTACCCACATCCAACGTCTTTCCTCAACTCCCTCTTCAGCTGGAAGCTAATTTGTTCTCTCTCTCCCACAGTAGGTTCTTAATGGTATCCGGCCAGTGGACCTGGAGCATCTTGCGTAGACGATTGTTTATAAATACCTGTACCTTTTTGGTGATGGTTTTGGTAGTTCTTTAAGTTTCAGCTCCACACGGTAGAACTTTCTTGGTGTTTCTATTGAAGATTCTGACTTTGATGTTGGTCGACAGTTGTTTTCAGTTCCGTATGTTTTTTAACTGAAAGGATGCGATCCTTGATGTCGATCCGTGCCGTTACTTCTGCATCGGATCCTCCTTGTTCATCAATGATGTTTACCAGACACGTGAAAGTTTACACCTATTCCAGAGCTCTGTCAAGTGTGAATGAGTTGGTATTCTCTGTATTGTATTCGAGGATCTTGATTTTTCCCTTGTATATGTTGAAGCCTACTGATTCATAGACTGCTACTACACTAGTTTTCGTCACCTAAATTTGTTGATGTGTATGTAATAGAATAGCTAGGTTATCTGCGAAGTCCCAATCATCTAGTTGTATCCAACCTGTGGATTGCATCCCGTGCTTCTTCTGAGATGTGGAGGTCCTCACGATCCAGTTGACCACTGGAAGGAAAAGAAAGCGAGAGAGTAAGCAGCCTTTTCCAATTCCTATCTTCACTTGCGATGCATCTGTCAGCTGTCCTCCATGCACCACTATGCAGTGTAGTCCATCGTATGAGTTTCCGAGGATGTTGACGATCTTCTCAGGTACACCATAGTGCAAAGAGGGTTCCATAAGGTTCCCCTGTCCACGCCATAAAACGTCTTCTCATAGTCGAGGAAGTTGATGTATAATGGCGAGTTCCATTCGACCGATTGCACAACGATGATCTGTAGTGTCGCGATTTGGTCTATGCACAACTGACCCTTACGGATTCCGGTCTGTTGATCTGGAAGTTGGACGTTCATTCAGTTCGGCAACATTCTACTGAAAACTACTCCTGGTACCGATAATTGTGTGATGCCTCTGTAGTTCCCACACTTGCTTAGATCTCCTTCTTTTGTTCTCTTGATGAGGTACCTTGAGTCCTCCGAGTTTGTCGGTATCTGGAAGGATGGCTGTATTAAACTTTCACAATTCTATTTCTCCAGTTGTCCAGTGTTTCTTCCATTTCAGTTTCATCGTTGCCACAACTAGGTGGTGATCTGAAGCTATGTCAGCTCTTTTCTTGGTTCTCACGTTTTCCATGGATCCTCTGAATTTTTTATTGATGCAAACATGGTCGGTCCTGTTCTCTGTAGTTTGGTCCGGTGAAACCCATATAGCTTTGTGTATGCGTTTGTGGTGGGAAATTATGTCACCTGTGGCCATGTTGTTGAAAACATATTAATCTATAAGTCCCTCACCATTCTTGTTCCCTCCTCCGATTCCATGTCGTCCCATGACAACTGCAACCTCACTTGGTGAATGCATAACACTGGATAACATTCATTGTGATCCTTTCCTTCTTTGTTTTGTAGAATGTTTTGACGGTTCTACATCCATGAGACTCCCGTCCTAAAAGTGCTTTTCATGCTTCTTCAGACAGCATTATAGCAAATCGCTCAGTGTGAGGAGCACCTTCCTCATAGTGCCCAGGGTACAGCAGCATCTCTACCGTATCTAGCCTATCCTCATCAGCTTGGATCCAATAGGTTTCACCGGCTGTTGAGTGGCTTTTTAAATTGGGTCAAGAATTACATCTCATGTGCAATGTCGTTGAAATCGTTCCAGATAATCCTATCGTCATCATGCGTTGGGATGGATATCAACCGGAATTACCAGCAATCATGTTAAATTCACATATGGACGTAGTACCAGTTGTCGAAGAAAAATGGTCATATCCTCCATTCAGTGGTACAATTACACCTGATGGTAAAATATACGGGCGAGGTACTCAGGTAATTAAATCTCGTGATTATACTGTTCGCTAGAACAGCATAAATATTCACTTTTTACTCAAATGTAAATAGTTATTATGATAAACTTATTATAGTTGAACTAGTAGATCGATATGGTTGTAATTATAAGAAGTATTTTAATGTAATTTTTGTTGCTGCATGTTAGTAACTAGTTTTCTGTGCAGGCTTGATTTGACCATTCGTGTAATCGTATACATCTTATGGAATTTGAGTTATATAGGTGGTCGTCTACACGTTAAGACAAGTCTTCGCTTTAACAGAAAAAGCTGCTACTTTAACATTTGTTCGTAAAACAATCGGCGAATTTTCCGTAAATCCCGAGTGACCTCGTGTCAAACTAGTCATCATTAACTTAGGACCTTGCAAAATTGTACACTAACCCCAATTCCCATACCATATCAGCACCTTTCGGGAAAATGCATTAAATCAACAGCAAGGCAGTCGGGGTAGTATTTGGAACCTAAATTCTGCGGGATTGTAGATTGACTAATGGCACACTTCAATCGTATTTAAGCTGAAACTGGTGCGAAAATTTATTGTATTAACGCATAAGATTGTCCAATTTACCTATATATGCATGGTTCATTTTGTCTATTGTAGTGCAATAATTATGGATTTAGAACTGTAAAGCCTGGTGATCGAGTTAGTGGGAACAATTATTTCTTCAGGTATTCCTTGTTCTTAAATACTGAATACATTCTGCACTCTTGTGTCCTATTTTGAGCCATGACACCTAAGGCTGCCGGTTCTCAGTCACGATTATTGCTCAGACCCTATCCAGGTAGTTTTCACATACACACACAGCCTAAACCAATGGTCATTGACTTAATATACTGGGACCTCAACTTAATTTGTCTGCCTTAGCTTTCTTATTCATTTTGGCTATAATCCCATCTAACAATCTTGCGGAATCTTTTGACTGTGTAAATACGCATTGATATTTTTTCTAGCATGTAAACTAGATTCTGAAAGGAAACACTAAGAACATCCCTTTTGAAAGTGAACGTTTCATTCAATAGTTGAGACCATGAGTCAATTGAAGCTAGACCACCATGGAAAACCTAAAAGCACTGAACGGCCGTTTCGTCCTACTGTGGGACTCCCCAACAGTGCGCATCCACGATCTCGCCTCGCGGAATTCGAATCCAGGACCTACCAGTTTCGCGCGCGAGCGCTTAACCTCTAGACCACTGAGCCAAAATCCAACGGTGGTAATGTCTAACTCCAACTAGTCCGCGAAATTGAGCGACACACCCACCATCTCGCGAGGTGAGATCGTGGATGCGCACTGCTGAGGATTCCCACAGTAGGACGAAAAGGCCGTCCAGCGCTTCCAGGTTTTCTATGGTGGTCTAGCTTCAATTGACTCATGATCTCAACTACTAAAATTACTATAATATCCACAACAAACCCCCTCTGATAATAAAAATTGTGTTACTATGTTTTTAATCAGATGAGTTCATATTTTACACCTTGAAAACTATTCCTTACCTCGATAGTTTCAAATAAACTGAGGATTGGGCAGAAGGCGAATAATAAATATATTTTTGTGAATTGACTCTCATGTGGCCACAAAATGTCAGATACAATATTCTACTCGTTGGGATACCACAAAAATATATTTATTATTATTCCGAACCTACTTCAGAACGGGTGTAATTTACCTAGTATTTATGGTAAAAATTTTCCATGTTGTGTTGCAAACCACCCTCATTACTTATTGCAAACTCCAACTTACGATTTTCCCACCAAATTTGTCCATCCCAGGTGTCATTAAAGATGCTTTCTCCCTATTATTTTTCCATCTTTTGATAAGTTATTTTTCTCCTTACTCTTAAGGACATTGTAATTATATTTATGCGTAATAGTTGTTATCCTACTTTAATCTTTTTAGTGTTATTAATAAAATTAACACTCAAGACTTGACTGTTTTCTTAGCTGGGGATCATGAACTAACATAGCAAAATATCTACATTCATGGCTTAGTAGATTAAAGCTAGGAGTAGGATACATTAGTATTATGTACAGTTTAGTTTGTCAACATATTTTTTTTAAAATTCAGTTGTACATATCACACTGCAAAATAAATTCTTCTAAAATAAGTTTTTAAAACTGCTATGAACTATCCATATATCACCCATTTGACGCTCTTTCTGAAGAATTTCGGATTCTATGTATCTTTTTGTTATTTTAATATTGGTGTAGGGTGTGTGTGTGTGGAGATTTTTGAATTTTCTTCTGTACGTCACGAACTGACCTTAGTTATCTAACTATTAAAGAATGAGGAACACTGGAAAACTGTTTCATCTTAGTATGATACTCCCCATCTTACTAGTAACTGATTTACAAAGACAGTTTTCCTATATACGTTGTAGGGACGTAACCAGAGGAGTCCAACCAGGTCAAGAGTGAGGAAGTTGTCCACCAATCGGATTGGAAAATGACCGAGTAATATCACGAATTGATTAAAATCAGTAATGTAAACCATCGGATCCCAAATCAGTTTTCTAAACTTCAATGACTCACTGTGAGACCTGGAAGTTTTCGGCTCGATTTCTGATAGTGTCGTCAGTGTTCACTTGGAAGTCCTATACTGGAGTGGAATCGATGTTTTCGATAGTTGTCTAACCAACGTCAGTTTGTAATGTAGACTGAAAAGTTAGTTTATTACTTGTGAAATTTTGAAATACATCATTGAATACTCTGTCCTGAGATGTTATTTAACCTGTTATGCCATTCATATTCTTTTGTTGAAGGATATGAAATCAATTGGTATTCAACAGTTGGAGGCTATTCGAAGATTAAAATCACGTGGATGCAACCAGTTGCGTCGTACAGTTTACTTGACTTTTGTACCTGACGAGGAGTTAGGTGGTGTGAAAGGAATGAAACCATTTTTATTGAATCATAATGAATGTAATAATCATCATTCCGAAGAAATTAGATTTCAAGATATGAATATTGGGCTTTGTTTAGATGAAGGTATACCAAGTTGTTCAGAAGATTATTTAGCATTTTACGACGAACGTCGTCCAGTTTGGATAAATGTACATTTTCATGGTAATGCTGGTCATGGTCTGGCTTTAATTGAAAATACAGCCGCTGAAAAATTCCGGATATTTTTAAATAGGTAAGACTTCTTAAAATATCTTCCATGTTTTTATTTGGGTTTGTGTTGATTCCATATCGTATTTTCAAGGGATTATATATATATATATATATATATATATATATATATATATTGAATAAGATGTCTTTTATTTTTCTGTCGATGGGACTGATAGTAGAATGCAAGATATACCTTTTGTCCAACTTCAGACTCACCAACTAAATGTACTTGCATTTCTTATGGTTAACGTACCAGTAATCTTCGATTTCTATTAGGACAAACTTCATAACTTATAATTTACAGTAACCAATTTCCTGTTATTTGCCGATAGTAAATAAAACGCTTCGTGGATTCGCACCATTTTACCAGTCAAGGAATTATCGATCGGAGTTAAGGGTTTGTAGTCGTAAGAATCTCTACTATTCTCCTAGTGAAACCAGCAGCACAGACGAATTAAACTGTAATGAATTTTGTCTAGTGTGGTGTATATCTCCAAGTAAGAAATTGTTCAAACGAAATTCGTACATAGTTTCTTTTTCCATTTTCAGTATTTACAGTTTCCGCAAAGAAGAACAATTAAGGTTGGAAAACTCTCTAGGAAAGCTAACATTGGGGGATATAACAACAGTCAATATGACAATGATAAATGGAGGTGTGCAGCATAATGTTGTGCCTGAACAGTTGTCAGCATCATTTGACATTAGATTAACTCCTTCATTGTCACTGGATGACTTCAAAAGGAAATTAGATCAGTGGGCATTAAATGCTGGTGGACAGATTGAAGTTAGTTTGCAAAAATTGACATGTTTTTGTATCTTTTATATTTCCTAAGTAATCAAGTTTAGGAGAATAAAAGAATCGCCTAAAAATTGGTTGAAATCGCTTTTCTTACTGCTGCTGTGTACAAACCTCTACACCATATAAAACTCCATTATAAATGTGGAAAAATTTAGTAGCAGTATTGCCGTTTCGTTTTGATGTGCTCTCGGTGAAAGCATACTAGAGGAACAAGCGTAAAACAACTGCGACAAATTTCAGCTAGTTCTTAACCAATTGTAAAATCTTTACTATAATGGAATAGTTCCGAGGGGGAAATTTATATAGAAATCTAACAGTACTTAATGAGTCTCTTAATTCTTCCCTCAGCAGTGCGCACTCACGACCCCGCACCGCATGGGGCTCGAACCCAGGACCTACTGGCTTCGCGCGCGAGCACTTAACCACTAGACCACTGAGACGGAATCCGGCGGTGTTAATGTCTAATTTCAACCAATCCACGAAGTTGCGCCACCGTACACCATTGTCTACAGTGAGTTGTTATCTCACAACAGACTGGTTGAACTCCACTGGTAACGGCTTCTCACTAGAACTCTAGGAATTTTTCTGAAGTCAGTCACTAGTGAGCAGTTGATTATTATCAGGTTTTCAATGGTGGTCTAGCTTCAACTGACTCATGATTTCAACCTGTGAAATTTCTAAAACTCTCCACTAAACCCATTCTGATACAACCATTTTCTATGAAGAAAGTAAAAGAAGACTACAGCAGGATTGCCACTGGCTTCTATTCTGAGCCATAGCTGAGAACGTATCTAGCCACTGTGTTGCACCGTCTCTCGGATCCCAGCCAGGGAGTCGTGGAGGATCAACAGAAGCCAACCCTTTTCAGCTTTATTTCATGTAGTGCTTCAAGAGTTGGAGTTCCTTGCGGACTTCCGCCTCATTTGGTTGATCAGTCGTCACTAAAAAGTTTCTTTAAATCGATGGTGTACTTCGGAGGTCGATATTCACTGCACAATTATTATTATTATTATTATTATTATTATTATTATTACCATGGTTTAACCCTTTCACTTAATGTTCATTGCTTTTCTCTCTCTTTCCCATCTAAATAAATATTATTCTTAAGAATCTATAATGTTTCAAATTATTTGAATTGTAATATGAACTAAGAATCCCCCAAATAACTCAGTTGAATCAAGAAGTACTAGATGAGCACAAACGAATGTATAGTATTTAGAATTCGAAATCCAGCATTCAACAAGTACAGTGGTATCATTAGTTCATTCAAACACCACAGAATCCCAAGTTTGTAATTAAGACAATAACTTGTGTTACATTTAAATTAAATTCTCAGACTCGTTTTATCTTCACTATGTATATATGACTCATACATATTGATATTATGTTATACTTTTCATTTAATTGAGACTTTCATAGCACCACTCCAAACTAGAACTGCACAAACATTTATTTTAGCGTCATATCTTACTGCGATAATAAGTTATTTTTTGTTAATTAGTTTTTGTGACTAATTTGACGATATATTGTGGTGTTTGAATTGACTAATGATACCTTTGTACTTGTTGAATGCTTGATTTTGAATTCCAAATACAATACATTCGTTTGTGCTTGTGTCTCACTTCTTAATTCAATTGCGTTATTTCTGGGACTCTTGGTTCGTGCTATAATTCAAATAATTCAAAACATTATATATATACATGGTCGTTTATTCATGTTCTGTGTTCATAAACACGCTTATTAAACTATTTGCATATTTCATGTCTCCTTTATTTCTACTCCCTTATTTTCTCCATTTCCTTCTTTAAACTCAATTCAATATTCTTCTCAATGACACAGAACCTGATTTATCATTATTATTATTCTATTATTATTACTCTTTTTTTAATATGGCAAATATAATGCTAACATTATTGAAAATTGTGTATTATTGCATTTTTTGAAGAAACCCGAAATGGTTTCTTCACAAAACTTATGTACCCATAAGATGTTTGTGAATAATAATAATAATAATAATAATAATAATAATAATAATAATAATAATAATAATAATAATAATAATAATAAGCATCACAATGCACTTGAGGGCTTATATCGGCGACTGCAAACTTTAGATTATTCAGCTAATTTATCCCGGTCGTATTGAAGCTCTTGGCTCTCACTTTTACTTTTTATTACTCTCCATGTCTTCATAACGTCAGCATGTAACAAAACCAATGATGATGGGAGACGAGGAGCAACACCAGCTTAAAAGATATACACTGTAATACGTCGCCAAGCACAGTTTCCCAACTGGACAACTTTGAGTTCACCCGTACTCTTTGTTGACGTCCAACTAGACAGTTTTTTATTCACATCAATAAATTGGCCTAAATCCCGACATTACTTAACTAATATAGCAACCGGCTGTGAGAAACTTCGTCAAAAGCCTTGATGGAATCAACGTAAGTTACAGCTATAGGCAAATTTTGGTATTCATGAGCGCGCCAAATTTCAAGGGCTACTAATAAGTTAGTGAGACAGGAATATCTTGTTCTAAAGCCATGTTACTTTTCGGAAAGAATCCGGTTTTTGTCGGGATACTTAAACAACTCCTAAATAATATTTTCTTAAATTTTAACAACCACTCTGGTAAGGCTCACGGGTCAAATAATCCTCAGGTTTATGTCTCACACCTATTTTGAAGATAGGACTTACTGGAGCATTTTTCCCAGTCTTTTGGCAATCGACCCTAGGTTACAGATAGACTAGAATATGTGCCTTAGGAATTCACGATAAAAGTTGCCAATTCCTTTGGAAACCTAGGATTTATTTTATCGGGTCCCGTAGATTGGCGCATATCAAGCTCATTTAGTAAATCAATGATGTCGAGTATTTTAACAGTCACAGTGTCCAGTGTGTGTAGGCGGGCTTGTATGAACTAGAGGGAAGAATGTTTCCACGTCGTGTACATTGTTAAAGTATTTTGAGAATACCTGCGATTTACCACAGTCGCCTTCAACTAATGATGAAGTATTGCTGTCACCCCATGATGCTGAAATATTGCCTCTTCTCTTAGTTCTTTGGTTTGTGTGTCAATATGAGCGTTTAGGGTATTTTATAGATTTTTCAACAGGCTTTTACGGTACAAACTTCTTCACTTGCGGGGGGTCGAGGCACAGATATTCCGAGCTTCTCGACATTAAGATGTTATCTCGTCAGTACCCAGTGACCTGAATCTCTCTCACACTCCTCCTCTTATGGGGGAGGGCGCGGACCTCTTTATTGGACGACTGTGGGGAATTTCTCAGACTCCTCGGTATAGTCCAAGAGATGTGCGGTGCAGTGACGTTTATGCACAAATTTCTGAATACATCTGAAGCCGCTTTGAATGGGGGTACTCCGGCTGTTTTGAATAATCTATTGAGGACGTAGATTGTATAACACCTCGAAGATTTGCTTCACAGACGTTAAGTCTAGGTTCGAATGACACATGCCCGTTACTGACAACTATATGGAAACCAACGATTAGAACTGTATGCTACTTTTACCCAAGGGTGGCATATAATGGAGGTTTGTGATATCATTCTCGTGTTAAGTCAATATGAGGTCTAGTGAAAGTGATTCTGAGTCCGGGTCGTACTTAGTTGCCTCTTTTACATGTTGCACCACGGCACATGTGATAACCACATTGCCACATCAGTAGCTCTTGTCCTTTGCATTTCAAGCGGCAACTAACTGGTTTACACGTCTCACTTTAATAGGATATTTTATCAACAGCGGCAAATTGGATACTATTTCGAATGAATAGAACTACACCTTCTAGACGCTATCGGCTCTTACAAACGTGAAAATTCTAAAATAAAGTTTCGTACTGTCTACAAACTGTGTCAACTAAGTTTCTATGACTTCATTCACATCCGGCTTGGTAGAGTGTATCTGCAACAACTAGTCATCTGCATTATGGTGGCGATCACAGTCACGTCACACACACCGTGTGATCCTGGATGATTATCGATGACTTGGCTGACCAGTTATTGTTTCTTCTGCTAGAGGAAGACCTGACCCTTCGATTATATAGCCCATTCTTCACAACCTCTCTTAAACCATATGGAGTTAGTCTACGCTTCATGATGACCAGCTTCCTCCTTACTTCTAAGTGTGCTGGGTGAATTTTCGTACCTCATGCGGTTGTAGTGACTCACATTTATCACGAGAACACGGCTGGTTTAATAAAACAATTATTATTATAACCAAGTGTACCAGTGTTTTTTTAATGTGCTTTTGTTTGACTGTGCTAATGACAGCTATATTTTGCTTCCATTCTTTTACTTACATTTTGATTGTGACTTCGCGCGAATTCGGTTATGTTCTGTAACCAAGCTTGTATTCTGGCACGATCTCGGTATCCTTTCGATACCACGAGATCGCCAGCAAATATATATCTCGATTTGGTCCATTAACTGTCTTCTGATATTTGGCTTCTCGGAGATTTTATGGATTTATTTGGTTACGTCCAACCTTCGCCTTCTGATTAACTTGGCACGTGTTTTTTGGTAGCGGTGTTCATAGTCAATCACGACTCGACGCCACGCTACACGGTTTTCAAACATTACAGGATTAGATCTTTGATAAAAGCACTGTTAGAAACATTAGCACATTAAGAAATACTTACATCCAGCAAACTTATGCCCTTTGACCCAAGTACAGATGGACCATACTCACTAACTAGGTAATGAATATTGATAAGACTGGCCTATTCCTTCCTTATTTGAATATTAACTATAGCAATAATGGGTAGCTGATAACCAGTGATGCTAGTAGTTGGAATACTTGTATGTTTTAAACGGACATCGTTATAAAGCAACAACAGATTTCTCCTATAAATAATTAACTTATGCTCCCAGTATCAATAATAAATTAACAGGACTTGCCTGTTTCAGCAATTGGTTGTCGCATAATATGTAAAGTACTCCTGCAAGCGGTACTGAACGATAACAAATCCATTCTTCTGTCCATATCAGCCAGTCTTGATAAATCATCATTCAGTGTTT